TACACTAGGGAGTCCCCTGCCAGCACCCGTCAGACTTGGACGCCCCCCCACACCGGCGGGGTGCGGGGTCCTTCCCTCCACATCAGGTTCGCAGAGGCTCCAAGTTGTCTTGTGCTGGGCATTGCCAGCTTCTCCTTCCTGCTGTGCACTTTCTGTCTTGATAAGAGGGGTTCCTGACACTGAGGCCAGGAGGCCCCACTCCTGCCTTTTTTCCTAAGAGCTTCTTCCTGCTGCTTCACACCTGGGAGCTGGTGGCAGTGACCAGGGTCATCCAGCTCTTCCCTTCCCCCGCTTTTGGGTCCTGCCCCACCAGTGTCCCCTGACAGAGTGCCTGCCCTTCGGGCCTGCACAAAGGTACGTGCCCCTGTGCCTGCGTCCACTCCCGGACCTCCTGCTCCGTCTGGTTCCCTCCTTCTCTGTCCCTGGTCCAGGCAACACTGCGGAGTGTGATGGTCCCTGTCGGGAGGCCTGGATGCTGGGTGAGGCGGCCTTCCCCATGCTCGCCAGCCCCTTCCCCACTGCCCGGACAGGACCCCCCGCAGCTTCCTGTTTTTCCCTTAGAATCGGGCCACCAGCCCGGTGAGCTCTGTGGGCAGGGCCCACCGCTCCGCTCCCCACGCGTGCTGCTGTGGTTGGTCCACCTGGGGGCTGCAGAAATCTGTGTTACATGAATGGATGAGAGACCGAGAGGACCTGCTCGGCCTGCCGATGGTGGGGCCAGCGCTCCGCTGGGACCTGTGGGCGGTGCCCTGCCGAGCGACTACTCATCCTCAGCCCCAAACCCGACAGACACCTCAGGGTGGCCTCAGCTCTGGGAGCGGAGAGAAAAGGAAAAGGGCGCCAGCGAGAGTCCTGCCGGGCAGAATGGAGGAGAAACTCCATGAGAGCCGGTCCAAGCCCAGAGGAAGGGGCAAGTGTTTCTCGGGACCCGGCCTGGGAGCTAAACCTCAAGGGCCTGAGAAAACACCCGGTGGACACTTTGCAGTTCTTTTCGTATGTGAGAATCTGGGGAGAGAGAGCAAGGAAGGTCTGTGAAACTCAGGGGCGGCAGGCTGGGGAGGTGGGGGAAGCACAGGGGGGACCTCCAGCGCTGGGCAGAAAGCCTGGCGTGAAGCCATTTCCCTCCCCCTGCAATGGACGCGGGTGCGGACCTTCCCTGAGGAGGCGGAGCTTGTGTCCCACACACTGAGTCACAGCCTCCAAACCCCGGGGACTCCAGAGTTGGAAAGTCGTAGTTCAGGTGATAGCTAGTGAGCTCGGTAATCAATGCAGGTAACAGCTGTTGTTCCAGGAACTGAAGGTGTGACCACCCGGACTCCAGGAGACCACAAGCAGCCCCACCTTTGTGCCTCAGGAGGACGGCAAGCAGTTCGGGATGGAATCGGAGCCACTGGGCCCAGGGGGAGACTCCACTGCCCAAGGCACAGGTGAAAGACACCGGGGCTTCTATCAGATCAGGGGCTGGAGGGCCGGGCCATCCCACTTCTGCGTGCAGACAAACCTGGAGGAACAACTGGGGGGCGAGAGAGACATCACAATCCACAGTTGCAGTGAGGGAAATAAACCCTCGAAACCTCTGACTTTAAAAACCTGTGGGGGTTGCAGCAGCAGGAGAAACTCCCAGCCTCACAGGAGAGTTCACTGGAGAGACTCACAGGGTCCTAGAAGGTACACAAGCCCATCTGTCCGGGAATCAGCACCAGAAGGGCCCAGTTTGATTGTGGGTAGTCGGGGAAGTGACTGAAAACTGGTAGAGAGCTGAGCAAGTGGCATCGTTACCTCTGGGGCCTCTCCCCCACATACAGTTCCACAACACAGCCATGTGGGTTGCAATTATCTAAGGCTTTGCCCCTTACAACATAATAGGTGTGCCCTGACAAGAAAAAAAAAGGCCCAAGTGAAAGAACAGATCAAATCTCCAGAAAAAAATAAAACTAAATGAGAAAGAGATAGCTAACCTATCAGATGCACAGTTCAAAGCACAGGTAATCAGGATGCTCACAGAACTGGTTGAGTATGGTCACAAAATAGCAGAAAAAGTAAAGGCTATAAACAGCGAAATAAAGGAAAATGTACAGGGAACCAACAGTGATGGGAAGGAAACCAGGACTCAGATTAACGGTTTGGACCAGAAGGAAGAAATAAACACTCAACCAGAACAAAATGAAGAAATAAGGATTCAAAAAATGAGGAGAGACTTAGGAGCCTCCAGGACAACTTGAAATCTTCCAACATCCAAATCATAGGGGTGTCAAGAGGAGAAGAGGAAGAGCAAGAAGTTGAAAACACATTTAAAAAAATAATGAAGGAGAAGTTCCCCAATCTGGCAGAGGAAATAGAATTCCAGGAAGTCCAGGAAACTCAGAGAGTCCCAAAGAAGTTGGACCCAAGGAAGCACACACCAAGGCACATCATAATTATATCACCCAAGATTAAAGAGAAGGAAAGAGTCTTAAAAGCAGCAAGAGAAAAAAGGGGACAGTTTCCTACAAAGGAATTCCCATAAGACTGTCAGCTGATTTCTCAAAAGAAACCTTGCAGGCAAGAAGGGGCTGGAAAGAAGTCTTCCAAGTCATGAAAGGCAAGGACCTACATCCAAGATTACTCTACCCAGCAAAGCTTCCATTTAGAATGGGAGGGCAGATAAAGTGCTTCCCAGATAAGGTCAAATTAAAGGAGTTCATCACCACCAAGCCCTTATTATATGAAATGTTAAAGGGACTTATCTAAGAAAAAGAAGATGATCAAAAATATGAACAATAAAATGACAACAAAGTCACAACTATCAACACCTTAACCTAAAAAACAAGAACAGAAACAAAAATGAACTAAGCAAACAATTAGAACAAGAACAGAATTACGGAAATGGAGATCACGGTTGTGGAAGGTTATCAATGGGAAGGATGAGAGGGGAGAATGGGGGGGGAAGGTACAAGAAATAAGAAGCATAAATAGTAAGTACAAAATAGATAGGGGGAGGTTAAGAATAGTATAGGAAATGTAGAAGCCAAAGAAATTGTATGTACAACCAATGGACATGAACTAGAGGGGAGAGAAATGTGGGTGGGAGGGGGTGTGCAGGGCAGAGGGGAATGAAGGGGGGAAATGGGACAACTGTAATAGCATAATCAATGCAGTATATTAAAAAATAAAAATAAAAATAACTAAAAAAAAAGGATGCCTTTGCAGACTTTAACTCTGAAAGGGAAGGAACATAGAGAACTGAAAGACGATTTTTATATTTTTAAAAATACTTTATTGATTTACTTTTAGAGACAGGGGAGGGGAAAGGAGAAAGAGAAAAAGAGAAACATCAGTGTGTGGCTGCCTCTCACGCGCCCTGTGCTGGGGGCCTGGCCCACAACCCAGGGACTGGAACTGGACCCAGAAACCCTTTGGTTTGCAGGCCAGCACTCAATCCACTGAGCCGCACCATCCAGGGCCAAAAGATGATCTTCGAAAGCATCCAGAGAGGCTTCAAGTCAGATGTAGTTTCTGAAACGTGCATGCTCACGGCCCGAGTAAAGCCCTTCAACGGGGAGAAGCGGGAAGGGCAGTAGAGGCGGGACTGCTATCCCGGCTCCATGAGCTGGGAGGCCCTGGGCAGCTGGCTGAGCTCTCAGAGCCTCGGCTGCCTCATCTGGAAAGTGCCCGCCACTTAGGGTTGCCAGGAACGTCCAGGGACTCGTGCGCTGAGCTTTGCAGAATGACACGTGTTCCTGGAAAGGCAATGACATTTGACTCTGACTCCATTGCTGCCGTCGCACATTGCTGGCGGGCCACACAGCTGGGCCTCGGGCAGTGCAGGGGCTTTGGAGAGGCGGGAGGAGAAATTCCCACTTAGTGTGTGCCTGTGGGGGGGGCAGCGACTTGGGGGCTTTCCACATGCCATCCTGTGGCATCCTCACCGGCGAAACAGGGCTCATTGTCATTCAAAATGCCCTGTGACGAGCTGAGGCTGGAGGCAGCGAGGGCTGGCCCACGTGGGGAGCCAGGGCCCCAGCCTGTGCCCATGCGACCAGAGCCTGGACCCTCCTCCCCCCTCCCTGGGACTTCCCAAGTCCCCTCCACAGTGTACCTGACCAGGGCAGGGTAGGTGGGCAGCGCTGTGGGGCTGCAGCCCCCTCACTGTGGCTCAAGTGGAGCGTGGAGGCTCCTGCTCACCCTTGAACTCACCCAGGGACTGAACACGGTGCCCTTGGGGCGTCTCAGTGCCAGCAGGCTGTGCAGCCAGGGGGTGGGCCCTCTTCCCTCACTGCCTTGGTGTGGCCTCGGTGCCTTGTTTTCACCAGAGGACATGGGGGTGGGGGGGGAGAGTGCAGCAACCCCACCTCCCAGCCTGGCTTCCAGGACGCTTCTTTATGTGGAGGGTGTCACCTGGCCCAAAACGGTGTGGGACAGATAGGCCCTTCCTTCCATCTAGGAGACCCCAGCGGGCTCCCAGCTGTTCAGGGCCTCCTCCACGCACGAGGTCAGGGTGGCCCCTGCCCTGAGGGTCAGTGTGAAGAGGCAGCAGGCACTTCAGACAGAGGGCTTTATTAAAGGGGACACACAGCTGCACTTGGCTGAGGTGACCCCGTCTCCTTCTTCCAGAGGATTCTCTGTGGTCACCCTGATGCTGGCCAGTGGGGCTCACCACCCTTCCTGCTTCCAGGTGGCTATCAGGTATGACAGTCAGCTTCTTGGTGGCCCTTCTTCTAGGAAACAGTATTGAGGACCTGCCTCTCCAGGTCCTTGGCTGGGAGACTCAGCCACAAGGACTGGCAGCAGCAGGAGGAGCCGCAGGGGCTGGGCAGAGCAGGTGGCTGGGCAGAGCAGGTGGGTGGGCAGAGCAGGTGGGTGGGCAGAGCAGGTGGGTGGGCAGAGCAGGTGGGTGGGCAGAGCAGGTGGGTGGGCAGAGCAGGTGGGTGGGCAGAGCAGGTGGGCGGGCAGAGCAGGTGGCTGGGCAGAGCAGGTGGGCGGGCAGAGCAGGTGGCTGGGCAGAGCAGGTGGGTGGGCAGAGCAGGTGGGTGGGCAGAGCAGGGGCTGGGCAGAGCAGGTGGGTGGGCAGAGCTGCAGACCAGAGGGTCTACTCTGGGCAGGAGCATCACAGACAAGAAGCCCGGAGTTTGAAAGACAAAGAGCAGGACAGGGGACCCACACAGTCAGCTCTCGCATGGGGGGGGTGGGATTTGGGTGTGGAGGGCTTATGAGACTGGACAGGGAGGCAAGGGACAAGGTCGGAGGCCCTCTGGGTGGACACATGAGAAGCCTGGAGCCAGTGCTGGGGTGCTGGGGTGCTGGGGTGCTGGGGTGCTGGGGTAGGCGTCAAGGCCCTCTGAAGGTGCTCCTTGTAGGAGAAGGTGTTGGTGGGATTGGAACATAACCAGGACCTGCAGCCAAGACTTATCCCCAGCTCTGCCCCACCTGGCAAAGCCTGACCTCAGAGGCCCGGGCTGTTACATTTGTGTGAGGTGCTGGCTGGACCGTGGTGAGGCTCAGAAAGCAGGGCCCAGGAGAGAAAGAGAGATGGCCCGGGGTGAGGCAGAGGGGGGCTGGAGGCATGGCCGGGCTGGTGCTGTGGTCATGCGACTAGCTGATAGCCCGGAAGGTAAGGAGCGGAATGGTGGAAGGCATCAGTACAAATCGGTAGACCATCTTTACGTCCTCTTGCGTTAGCGTGTCCACCTGGAAGTGTTTCAGCACCTAGGACAGAAGCGCAGGTCCTCCGGGGTTACAGGTCAGCCCCACCCAAGGCTCTGCTTTTCTGGGGGCCCAGACGCCCCGCCTCCAGACGCCCCGCCCCACACGCAGCCCCGCCCCCAAACCTCCACCCTCGGCTGCCGAAGGTGCAGGACCCTCACGTGGTGCAGCAGGAGAAGCGATTCGGTCTCGGCCACGCGCCTTCCCAGGCATTGTCGTGCGCCAAAGCCAAAGGCCAAGTGGGGGAGCCTGGTGCTGGATCCCTTTTTGAGCCAGCGCTGGGGGTCATAGACCTCGGGCCTCGGGAACACGGAGGGATTCCGACCGAGGCTGTAGAGCTGCACGAGGACCAGTGTCTGCGGGGCGGGGAAAGGGGTGGGGGGCAGGGTGAGCTGGCGCAGGCCGGGCGGGCTTGCTGCAAAGGCTGTGGGGCCTCGCTCACCCCAGCGGGGATGTGGTAGTTCTGCAGGACCAGGTCCGAGCTCACTTGCCGCTCCACAGTGATACCCACGGGGTACAACCTGTGCACAGGGGCAGCCAACAGGGTCCTCAGCTGGGACAGGCCCCTCGCTTGCTTCCTCCAGGGCGCTGCAGGGCAGCTCCCCACCCTCCGTCACTGGGAAGCTGCATCCACGTGTCCCCAGAGCCCAGCCTGAGCCCCTCAGCCTGAGCAGCCTCAAGGCGAAGGAGGACAGGCTGGAGGCTGGTGCCCAGGACGCGGAGGTAGGATCCCAGGGGACGAAGCGCCCCTGCCTCTTTAGGGAAGAGGTGGTGCAGGGGGTGCCTCCTTGGGCAAAGCTGCCTGTAGCCCCAGGATCTGCGGCCCAACCTGGCCAGCGCTGCCCTGCAGGCTGTGGCCCAGAGTGGCTGGGGCAGCTCTGGGAGCCACACCTACCTCAGGGTCTCCTTGAGGGCGGCCCGCAGCAGGGGCAGCTCTGCAGGTGCCCTCTGGGGGTTTTCTGAGATCCTGGCCTCTGCCAGCAGGCTCTCCTGACGCAGGGCCTCCTGCACCTCAGGGTTCCGCGCCAGTTCAAAGAGGGTCATCAGCAAGGGGTAGGCTGTCTGCGGGGGCCGTGGGCACAGCCTCAGGCCTGGGCCCCAGCCCCGCACTGCAGCCCCCAGGGCCACTTCCCGTCAGGGTGACGGGCGTGCCCAGCACAGGGCAGAGCCCGGGGAGCTGAGACCTTCAGGCCCTGGGCTCCAGGACAGGCTCACCTTTGCCTCTGCTTGGGGTGGGGTCTGGAGCCTGACCCACCTGCTCCCTTGGAATCACGTTCCCTGGGCATCTGCAGCCGGCCAGACCCCACCCAGTCCCCCCCCCGCCCACTCCCCCCGCCCGCCCCGGGTCATTTCTGTGCAGGGAGAGGCAAGCCCAGCCTGGGGTCTGGGAAACTGAGTGGCTCCTAAATCCCATCCCCATGGCAATGTCCCCCCTGTGTCTCCTGATGTGGGCAGTGACCTGTCTGCTGCAGCCTTTGCTTCAGCAGAGGGGCCCCAGGGCTCACGAGGCACCTTGGGGAGCAGGAGTCAGCCCCTGCTGCCCCCTCACTGCCGCCCCTTGCTGTCTGCCCTGCACCCCTGCACTGCCTCTTCCTGCCTGTCTGGCTTCCTGTGGTTCTTCCACACTCAACTGGAAGTCCCTGTCCCCAGGACGCCTGCCTAGAGCTGTCCCTGGAGGCACATGCCCTCCCCTGGGCTCTCTCGCCTCACGACAGTGTCTCGGCACCAATCTGTGCCGCCCCAGGTGCCAGGCCCAGAGCGGCCCTGAGCTGCTGGCAGGTGGGGGCTGGGCCCAGAGGCAGGGACCTCTGGCTGCGTTCCACACCCCGGAGCCTGGCATCTGCTCCGGCCTCCACATGGTGGGGCCCTGTGCTGCCCTTCCCGTCGCCAGCCTGTCACCTCCACAGGATCCCTGAGGAAAGCCTAATGTAATCTGTCACCAGGCAGGGTGCCCTATGCCCAGGTGTCGGCCATCCCCATTTTGCCAGGACCCCGTCGGTCTGAACGGGGCCTGTGCCCTGCGTCGTCCCCAGGCCTCACCCCTCCGCAGGCTGCCTGGGGCTCCGTTCCCACCGGGCCGCAAGCCTCCCCCGAGAGGCCACCCTCAGGTGCCCTCCCCTCAGAGCCCGCCTCAGGGACTGAGAGGCCCCAGACTAGACATCTTGGTGGCACACACGGGGACCCTGGGCCCGGGAGGGTGCCGCCTGGGGTCGTGCGGGGTCATGTTCTACGGGCAGGGCTGGCTGCCGGCCTGACCGTGTCCACGCTCCCAGCAGTGAGGTCGATGGAGCTGGCCTTGATGGCATCGAGGGTCATGTCTGCGTGCAGGAGCAGCTCTGCCACCACGCCTGTGTAGTGCTGGGGGCGGCCGAGGGCCAGCTCCTGGTAGATCTTCTGGATGCAGTCATTGGCTGTGGGCGCAGAGACGGAGCCCTGGGCCTGGTGCTGGGAGGCTCCGCCCCTGCCGTCCTACACGGCAGCCTGCAGCGCCCGCCCCCTCTCCTGCCCAGCCCCGCCTTGGCGCCCACTTGCTAGGGGACGGAGAAGAAGCCTCAGCACCCCTGGGCCCTCACCATACTGGAAGATGTAGTCCCAGGCCTCGAAGTGCTGCTTCCACACCGGGGCACTTGTCCAGCGGGACAGGCTCCTGGGCATGAACATGAGCTGCATGGTGGACTTGAGCATGGCCTGCAGGGCGCGGATGAAGTTCAGGCTGGCTGGGCTCGGGCTCTGGCTGAGCAGGCCCAGCCGCTCTCCAAAAAGGACCAAGTTGCTGGCTGTGGGAAAGACGGGGCTGCTGAGCATGTGGCAGCCCGGGGCCACATGGCAGCCGCCTCCTGCCAGCCCTCCTGCCCCTGGTCCCAGGCCCAGCGAGGTCCCTCCAGACCCCACACCTTCTAGGGTGTAGTAAAAGATGCTGGGCTGGATGTCCATGGTCAGAGTGCCCCGGGCGTTCTGCAGCACCCTCGCCATCAGGGCCTTAGAGAAGTCCCTCGCCACCCTATCCACCATGGGGGTGTATTTCTGGACAGCTTGCGGTGACATCACATCTGGGTTAAGCCGCTGTCGGTCCAAGCGCCAGGCAGGGCCGTTTCTATAGAGCAGAGAGCAAGCTTCAGGGCACCCTAGTCAGCAGCAGGACCCCATCCCTGTACCCCACCTTCTTGATCCCCAAGGGGAGCTGTCCGCTGGTCCAAGGGCACCAGCTGCCTGTGTGCCCACCCCCGCTGCTGCGCGCCTCTCGCAGGGAGGCCTTCGCGAGCTGTTTCTGGGGGCTTGACTCTGCAGCAGGGTGAGGCCACGCTTCCGCCCAAGAGTGCCGTGCAGTTCACTCAGCTTGCTCGTGCCGACGGCTGGCCCTGTGCCTGGCCCTTGGTGGGTGTGGGGCCTTTTCTCTGAGAGGTGGCTGGCCCTTCTGCTAAGCTGCGCCCACTCCACTTACGCCACGTCCCAGAGGGAGTGAGGGCGGATTTGGCTTCTCAGCCGTAGTCAAGCATAAACACCTTTCCTAAGGCCAGCTGCCCACAGGGGTTGAGACCAATCACACAGGCACTCAAACACCCGCCTACAGGACGTGGGTCAGCACATGCACCTAGAAGGGTGCCCAAGACACACGGAAGGCTGCACACGTATGTTCAACAACACAGAACACACAGCAGAAGCACACGAACACAGACATACAAAACGCTCCAACCAGGCAAGCACGTGCATGTGCACACAGTGAGCAGAAACCCACACGCAGGCAAGCACGTGCTGCACACACATGTGTGTGCATGAGCACATATGCTGGTACCCCCCATGGGCAAACAGACCTGTTCACACGCACATAACCATGTCCACAGGCATGCACTCACACAGGCAGATGCACGCAGACACAGGTGTGGCCGCCCCCGTGCACTGTCCCCACAGACACCACACACACATGGAGCGCAGGCACCAGTGGCTGCCCTCTCGGGAGCCCCGGGATCCGGCCCCGCGAGGCGCAGCCGGCCTCCTTCAGGCCTGCGGGGCTGTGACTCCCTGGCCGGACGGGGAGCTCCCCCTCACGCCCAGGACGGGCCGTGCCCTGCCCCCTGGTACTGCCCTGTGGTCACGCTCTCTCCACTCACCCAGGGGCCCAGGGCAGGCCTGCTTCGGGTCTTCCCCATCCCGCCTCCTCTGCTCCCAGGCTGTCCATCCCCCCCTCACCGAGACTCGCCCTCACAGCAAGAACACGCCGTGTTTGTGCCCACGAAGCTGCCGGTGGGCCACCCAGGGCTCCAGGACCATGCGATGGGGTTGACGGCCCTCCGCCTGCTTCAGCCTGTCCACGTCCTCGGGCAGCGTCACGCACACCATGTGCCTGCCTCCCACGTCATACCTGCGGGATGGAGCCTGCCGTGGCCGTGCCCTTCCCAGGCCCCGCTCAGCCGACACGTCCGCACTGTCTCCTCTTGACCTTGCCGTCCCCTGCCCTGGCTCTGAGCAGGCAGGCCCTCCCGAGGTCTAACCCGAGCCTTGCCGCTGTGCTGCTGGTGCACCTCCCGCCAGAGGTGTGCACGGAGTGCTCCGGAACCTCGCGACGAGCCGAGCAGGGGTGCCGGTCTTCTGGGCCGCGGACACTCCCCTGTGCAGCCCACCCACCTGCCTGAGGGTGCAGGGCACAGGTACCCGGCAGGGGCTGGGCGGCCAGCGGGGCAGAGGGTCAGGGCGTGCTGGGGAGGAGGGCAGGGAGGCCTCACCTGAAAATGGGCCCCAGCTGCTGGAAGGCCTCCTGCATCTGCAGGTGCAGGTCCTCGCAGCCGGCCCGCCAGACCCGCAGAAGCCGCAGCCACTCGCTGCCAGGACACCGGGGGATGGCTTCAAAGGGCAGCACCGCTTTGGGGGCCGGAGGGGCACTGGCGGCCAGTGCGTGTGCCTGGCGCAGGCACAGCCGGGGCCCCGCCATCCAGGCCCCTGCCCTGGCTCGGAACGCCATGCAGGCTCCCCCCAGGCCCTCAGCCCGGTCCTTTTATCAGCAGGACGCGTGGCTGGCCAACTGAAGACGTCATGGGAGAAAGTGTCCCTGGACTAGTCCCCGGTGCCCGGGGAAGGGGTCAGGGCTGCAGGGGTCAGGGCTGGAGGCGTCCGGCCGGAAGAAGAGGAGAGGGAGGGATGGGTGCCTTGTCCCAGAATCTCACAGGCCTGCCGTGGGCTGGGTGGGTGTCCAGGGCAGGTGCCGAGTCGGGGCTGGGGGCTGCACTGGGCCGGGAGGGACTTGAGGCCTCTCCACGCCCCACCCCTAGAGAAGGGAGCAGGATGGATGAGCCCCTTATCTTATCAGGGGCTGAGAGGGGGGCCTTGGCTATTTTCGTCTCCTTGTCCGGGTCCTGGAGCAGGAGGCAGTGGGGCGGGTTGCACACTCCTCCGATCCTCCGAGCACGAGCTTTGCCGGCGCTCCCCGGGCCTTGTGAGGCCGCAGGGCGTGGAGACAGAAGCCTGGGGGCTGTTAGGGAAATCCGAAGGCGGAATTGGGGGTGGCACTGAGGGGCCCGCAGCCTGCCTGTCTGTCTGGTCAGGCAGCAAACTCTCGGGAGATGAGGGTCACTCCTCAGGCTGAAAGGTGAGAGACGCAGCTGTCCTGTGCTCAGCGCCCTCACCCCCTCGCTGGTCCTGCCGAGGGCTCTTGGGGTGCGGACTCAGAGCCGGGTGCAGGGGCAGGAGGGGGTCTGGCTGTGGCCGCAGGCTCCCCGCTCTCCTCGGACTCTCCCCAGTGGGAGCACAGTGGCGTCGATCCCGGGAGCGCGGGCCTGCTCCGGGGTCCGGTGCTGTCCTGCCGGCTCCTGGCAGCACCCCATGCGGTGGCTCTGGCCGCCCTCCTTTCCCTTTTCACACAAGGAAACTGAGGTCCGGGGGTTTTGTGACCTCCCAAGGTCGCCGGGCAGGTGGCAGGGACTGGAGCTGTGCCTGCCAGGCCTGACCCTGCTGCGGGGATGGGGTCCGGGGGGCCTGTGCTCAGGCTCCGGGGCAGGGCGGGCTGCCACCTGGGGGGAGTCTCGTTTTTGACCTCACTCCATTGCGGGCCCTCAAGCCTTCCTTGGGGACTGCTCGGTGGGGGCGATGAGTCAGACCCCGCCAAGGCCACCTCAGACAGTCAGGGTGGACGACGAGTCTCAGCCTCTGTGGTGTCACAGCTGTCCTTGGGCAGGGACGCAGGCTGCAGCGCTGCCTGACCTTGCACGCAGGTGCCCCGGCCCAGGCCTCCCCTGCTGCCCACCTGCCTTCCCCCTTCCTGGCCTCTGGGTCTGTTCTCAGGCCTCTGGGGGGTGTAGACACGTGCCAGCTGCGTCCCTGAACAGTGAGCCTGGAGGAAGCCAGGCCAGAGCCAGTTTCTCCTGCCCAGAGGAGCCATGACACGGAGGTGCCAACCCGTAAGTCCAGGGCCCGGCTTTAAAAGCAAGGGCCAGGTCCTAGAAGCGCCTCCTCGCCTCACTGCCTCACTGGCAAACACAGATGGGGCTCAGGGCCCCTGCCCTGGGTCATCGCTGTGCCGGCCACCTGCCCCAGACCTGCGGGGGCCTCCTGGGCAGGAGCTCCCGAGTCACGTGCGGCCGGGACGTCCTCCAATTCAGAGCTGCGAGCCAGGGCCCAGCCCATCCTCCAACCTCTGAGTGCATAGAGAGGGGGCCCAGGAGGGACCCCCAGCCCTGGGGAGGGCAGGCCACTGCGGTGCGGACGGCGGTGCCAGGATGAGAGCGTTTGCTGTGCCCTGCCCGCTGTTGGAGGATCACCCAGCCGGGTCTGCGGCCTCAGCGCCTTGAACACGCCCGACCTCGTCCCACCTGGGAAGCGAGGCAGGGCCGGGCGGTCAGTGCTCGGACGGATGGGAGGACACGCCCAGCTGCGCTGCGGGCGTCTGGAAGCAGGACCGCTCTGACGAGTGGCCTGAACTGAGAGAAGAACGAGCCCCCGCACAGAGCCGTCGCCTCCCTCACTGAGCCGAGCTGACGAGGTGGGCGGGTGCGCACACGGGTGCGGCGGAGTCCCTGCGGTCCCACAGTCCCCATCAGCTCTGGTTTCGGTTGGCTCTGTTCTGATAAGATTTGGAGTGTAACACATTTGGGTGTCTGTTGTTCTCTATTATCCTTTGTTAGATAGTAAAACTGACGTTTATTCGGATGTCTCTGGACCTCTTTAAATACTTCCCCGATGGTTTGAATAATCTGGAGTTAAATGACCCTTTGAGGGTTCTTGCAGCTTTTTGTTTTGAGTTCTTGGAGTGATAGCGTTTTTGACCAGGGCTAGTAACTTCGGGGATCGAGTTGGTTAAACTGTAGAAGTCCTGAGACTGGTGTCTACCAGTGTTGGGACAAGTGCATGATGCTTTGTGGCCCTTTTTTTTAAGTGAGTGAGAGAGACAGACAGACAGACAGACAGACAGACAAGGAGAGAGAGAGAGAGACACCAGTGTGTGGGGAACATCAGTTGCCCCCCACAGGCAGCCCGACCGGGGCTCGAACCAGCTACCTTCTGGTGTAGGGGACAATGTTCCGACTAACAGCCCCCCAGCCAGGGCGCTTGATTTATACTTTTTAAGAATGTTAAGTCATTGCCCTGGCTGGTGTGGCTCAGTGGATTGAGCGCCGACCTGTGAACCCAGGTGTCACCAGTTTGATTCCCAGTCAGGGCACATGCCTGGGTTGTGGACTGGGTACCAAATGGGGGGGCGCATAATTAATAAAATATATTTAAAAAAAAGAAAAATAAACCAAGTTAAAAAAAAAAAGACACTGCAGGGGAGGATGGCAGAAAAGGGTCCCAAGACCCTGCCCTTTTACCTGCTTCCCACACCCCTGCAGGCAGCCCCCCCTGGACTCTTCCTGCCCAGCCGGGCCACCTGGCTGGCTTGGGGCCACTCCCCCCGCTCGGATGTCAGTTCTGGGGACTGATCCCATCACTGCGTGAAACACCCCAGTTCCCGGGAGAGCTGTCCGCCCCTCCCACCTGTGCAGGGACCTGGGACAGTCACCAGGCACGGGCTCTGCTTCCGGCACCCCAGCCAGAGAGCTGCTCCCACCGTCCGAGGAACTCGGGGCGCCCCCTGCAGCTGATGCCCCCCCCCCCGTGGCCGATGTGCTCTGGACTGAGATGCTCCGCCTCCGACATGGATGCTCAGGTCGGGGTGCACGTGGGAGCCGATGTCAAAGAGGAAAAAGCACAGCAAACAGGAGAAGTGGAAAGAAGTCTCTGGGCACGCAGCACCCAGACCAAAAGGGTCTTTATTTCTCTCTTGAAATAAGCCGCCAACGGGGACCTGAGAGCCCGAGTCTCTGATTCATGAGACATCAAAGGGCAGTGAGCTGCCCTGGGGACAGGTGGGGACACGACGGGAGCCCCGCCACCCAGGACAGGGCCCCGCTGAGCAGGATGGAGGCCAAGCCCAGGAGGAGCGCCGAGCCACGCAGGCACACTGCCCCTTCTATCATCTCCTCTAGAGGCTCATCGGGCAAGATGTCCCTCTCCACGTTGGTCGGCCCTCCGTCGTTGCAGGTCATTGCACCGCAGCAGAGAACCCAGTAGAAACTATTTGTCTTCTTACTGGACTTCGGCGCTGGTGGCGGCTGGTGGGCCGCATACACGAACGAGCAGTTGTCGGTGCAGTTTTTGTAAACGAGGAGCTCTCGGGGATTCACACCTGAAATGGGGGTGTGGGGACATGGAAGTCACTGCTCTCTCACTGTCTGCTTGCAGACATCAGAGCACGTTCCCACCCACCAGCACGGGCCACTGCTGTGTGCCTGCACCTGCCAGCCCCCCGTGTCCCTATGCTGCCAGACTCCTCCCACTATAGGGTGCATGCAGGGTGGAGCCCGTGGGGCAGTGGCCGAGACATGTGAAGGACTGGTCTGTAGCGCTCTGACACAGACTGGCACGTGGAGGGACAAAGAACTCACAGACACTGGGGACCGTGTGCTTGCACGTGGGCCCGAGTGGGCCCAGACCAGGCTACCTGCCCTGGTAATGAGACGCTGGCCTCTGGCTGTGCAGTTCCCCAGGCTGGGTCCCTGGGGGAGGGGCGCCTTTCTCAGAGCACAGGCGCTTCCCAGCAAGAGCACCTAGGAGGGTGGGGCTGGGCCCTGGCATCACATGTGGCCTAGCAGTGTGGGGGGCACGGTGTCAGGAGAGCCTGCTGTGTCCACTTCTTGGCCCTCCTTAGCTAGAAGCCCCATCGGAGGCCACACTCAAGGGGTCAGGAGGAACTGCCCGGCCACACTGGGACATCTGCACAGAGGCCAGGGGCCACCCGGAAGGAAGGTGGACAGATTCGGCCACACTTCCAGCCCTGGGACACTGCAGAGCTGGGTCCGATGCCAGCACACTTCCCAGAGACCAGGCTTACACTGCTCTCTCCCGGGTGGGTCCCGGAGCCTGGCAACACGCTCTCCCTGTGGGGACAGAGCAGGCCAAGGCCAGGGGTGACATGCGGAGAAAAAGCAGTCTCTCTCTGGCCCCTGCCCATACCAGTGCTCGGGGAGGTGACTGGGCACTGACCGGAACACAGACGAGCAGGCACTTACGGATGGAGACTGTCAGGCAGCGCCTCGTCTCGTAGGGACAGGTCCTGAGTGTCGAGCATTGGAAGGTGTTTATGACTGCGCAGTCGTAGCACTTCAGGTTGTAGGTCCCTGAGAAGAGTGAGAGTGTGGCTGAGCTCTGAGCACATAGGCACTGCCCACCCAGCCACCAGACCAGCCACCAGACCTGCCACCAGTGCTCCCCCAGACCCCCCTCGGCCAACCCCACCTTCCCCGGCCTCTGAGGGCAACCCGAGGCCCACAGGCAACAGCCCTCAGTGAGCTCTGAGTCTGGGCAGGACTAGCCTGTGCCAAGGCCAAGCACACCTGGAGCTGTTCCCGCGGCTGCAGGGCTGGGGGCCCTGGGCTCCGCGGCTTCTGCCAGTCAGTCCAGGGTGCCCTCCAGCACCTGCCTGGACTCAGCCACTCCCCCCTGCATGCAGCTGGAGTCGCCTGGCAGGCCTCCAGGTGCCTTGGGGGAGAGGGGGACGCCTCCCCGACGCTCCCCGACCTAAGGACACTCTGTACATCCCCCACGTGCCCACCAAGTACTCCCGCCAGGGGGCCCCCAGCCGCCAGGATGATGGCAATTCCACTCCAGCCCTTCCCACGACAGGAACTTAGTAACTCGGCGAGTCCTCACCCTCCAGACAGGGACGGGACAGGGACAACACTTACACTTCCGCACAGACAACTCCATGTCCCCAGCGCTGACAGATGCTTCATTGTCCGCCAGCGTCAGCACCGTGGCCAGCAGCACCGCCGCGAGCAGCAGCATCTTAGCAGGAGCCTGAGCCTGTAGATCAGGGGACCCGAGTGCAGGTCAGCGAGAGCAGGGTTCCTCCGCGGTGAGGACACCCGGGGTGGGCCAGGGCCCGGCCCGGGGAGCGGGGAGGGGCCGGAGGCGGGGCCGGACCCCTCCAAGGTCGCTGGGCCACCGCCCAAGTCCCGCACAACCGACCCAAGGCTGCGGCCCTAGCCCGTGGGCCGCGCGCCCCACGATGCGCCCACACCTTCGGGAATCTTCCACCCCCCCCCCCCCCCCCCCAAGCTCCCGACCACCTGGAACCTTCCCTCCACCCAGCACCGCCCACCCGCCTGCCGAGGCCCCGACCTCTGGAACGTTCCACGTCACCCGAGGCCTCAGACAGAAGCCCGGAGAAGCTTCCAAGGCACCAACGACCCCAAAGCCGCGCGAAGCATGCTGGGAGCAGCTGCGGGACCCCGCCCCCGGGGGACCCCAATCCCATAAGTCCCCGCGCGCGTTGCCCACGGCCGGGCTCCCGCACCGCCAGCCGCGAAGGTTCCGAAGGTTCCAGAAGGTTCCAGAAGGTGTGGGCGCGTCGCAGAGCAGACAGCCCCGCGGGCTCGGACTGCAGCCTCGGGTTGCTTGTGCGGGACCTGGGCGGCCATCCTGGGGTGGGACCCGGCGGCCCAGCGCGCTTGCAGGGGTCCCGGCCTGGCCGACGCTGCAGCGGAGCAGGCCCGGCCCCGCCTCCGCCCCCTCCAGGGTCCCGCCGCTCAGTGAAACCCCGCCGCACAACGCCCCGCACGAGGTGTGGCACCCCTGCCCCCATCCCGGGCCTTCCCCGCACCGCCTCCAGGGGGCTCAGGGCTCCCAGACTTGTCCCCGTGCCTTGGAGATTCCGGGTGCCTGCACCGTAAGCCACCCGCGCAGGCCAGGCCTGGCCTACTCAGAGCAGCCCCGGGACGCCGCTGTGTGTTGTCTTTGGGTCCGTAAGCACCCAGCCCGGAGCAGTCCGCGGGCCTTGTGTGACTGTGCAGAGCGGTCTGCTACCCCCTTAAACGCCACCCCCGCCTGTTTTACCCATACCGCCGCCGCAGCCGCAGCCCGCCCACCAGGTTCGCAGCCCGGCGCGCTGGGCGCCCTCTAGTCTTTCGGAGAAGGGGGCCCCAGCCTCCTGTTCCCATGCGCTGGGCTCTGAGTTTGGGTCCTCAGGGTAGGGTGGGGCCTGGCTGGAATACACGGAGCACGTTTTTAATCTCGGGTTTTATTTAACTTGTTCTAGCGGCTAAATTGGAAGGTCACCCACGGCCCAGAGGCCGCCCTCGGGGAAGTATTTCCCGCCCACTCACCCTCCTGTTCCCCAGTTTGCCTCCTTGTCCGGTTCCTCTCAGAATCCGCCGCACTTCCTCCTGCAGACAGTGGCCGCTCTGCCTGGGGTGACTCGTGCCCGTTATGGCCCGTGCGAACATTCCTTTCCTCACCTAAGCTCACCAAAGTCTGTTTCCTTCAGGAAGTTCCGTGGCTTGGTAGTTAAGTAAGCTCTATAGCTTAGTTAGGTCTGATACATTTCACAGTGAGTTTTACACATGACAGGAGGTAAGTGGAGAGTGGAGTGTTTGTTTCTGCCTTTTAAGCTTGTTTTTGGGGTATCTCGTGTAGTCTGCATGTGGTCGTTCATCTGCTACAGAGGCCACCCCCTTTTCCTAACTGCCCAGTGACCACCGTGGGGATGGGCGAGAGTTCGGTTGCAGCTCAGCAGGCCCTTTGACGACCGGGCTGTCCACTGCGGGGAAACGGCCCTGCAGTGCCCTGCCCGTGTGAGGACGTCGGGGACGGTTGCAGCTTTACTCGGGGAGTGAGGACAATGCAAACCACTCAGTGTTCTCTAAAGGCGGCTCTGGGAGTGCCGCCCGCTGGGAAGCAGCAGCAGCCACAGCAGGACGGTCTCCAGGGGACGGAAGCAGAGCAGAGAAAGCGGGAGCAGAGCAGGCCTGGCCCCGCCCCTTTCCGGCCCTGGTGGGAGAGCTAGATGCACCTGCAGACGGGCTCCTGAGAGGAGGACCAGGAGAAGAGCAGGGCTCGGGCGGGGCACAGGGCTGGGGATTTGGTGTCCTGCACCAGGGACCTAGAATACACTCAGCACTGGAACCTGGCGACATGCCGGCTGCGGGGGCAGCGCCTGCCTGGTGGGGTGGAATGTCAGAATGAGGGACATTCCAGAGGGGGCCTAGGGACCACCCCAGGAGGGGGCAGTGCTGGGGAGCCCATGGGCCACCTAGGCAGGGAGCTGGCTGCAGGGGATCTGGGCCATCCTGTGCACTTGCGCAGGGTGCCCTGTGGGGATGCCCTGGGAGGCAGGTGCAGGGGGAGCAAAGGTGCAGGGGGAGGTGTGGGCTGTGGGGTGAAAGGGCCCGAACCTTCCCGAGATGCTGAGAGAGCAGGACCTTGGGGCGGGGGGTGGGGAGCCCAGTGCAGCCTTCGGGGAGGGGGGCGCGGTGGGGGGTGGCAGGGACCCCTGCTGAGAAGGTGTGCTTGGGAAGGTGTGGGCGAATGCACAGAGTGGGGGTCCTTGGGGATGGAGGGACTTTGGTAGTGGGGACAAGCCCGTCACCACCAACAGGGCACACCTGGCTCGGGCCCAAGAGTGAGGAGCAGGCAAGGGTCCCAGCACCAGTGGCTGTGGGCTTTGCCTGTGACGAACACAAGGTTCCAGAGGCGACCAAGCGGTCCTGTCCCTCACGTCCAGGGCCAGGCAGTGCTGGAGATGTCGGTCTTCCTTGCTCTTCTCCTGGTCTCGGGCCTGCCTTGGGTGGAGATGAACGTCACAGTGATTGGGAGACAGAGTGAGTCCTGCCCTAACACGGAGCCAACAAGGCGATGATGCCGGAGCTGGGACACAGGGCCTGGGGGACCGGAGTGGGAGAAGGTCCTGTGGGCCAGGACCGTGGGCGGGACGGGCACGTGGGAGCAGACGCTAACACACCCAGTTCTCTGTTCCTGGAGCCACAGCACGTGAGGCACCCACAGGAGCCGGTGCTGTGCAGTGTGTCCCTGGGGCGTGTCTGGGTGCGGGTGTGTGGGAGAGCACCCCACGAGAGACCGAGAACTCGGGTGGGCAGGCTGGGGGGCGTGGGAAGAGGGGACCCGCTGAAGGAGGGAGGGTGTGTGTGGCGGCTGTCCCTGTGGCCGTCTGCAGAATGGTCACGTCCCACTTTCCTTTTTGCCCCTTTGTTCAGAGGCCCTGAACTGTCACGTCTGTGAGAGAGAAAATGACTTCGGATGTGTAAACCCCAGAGACTGCCCCGCAAACACTGAATTCTGTTCCACTGCGGCCGTGAGTAAGTGTCTCGAGCGCCCCTGGGTGGCAGAGGCTGGTCCACGGAGCACCCTCGGGAGGGAGGGTCTGCCTGGCGTGGCTCAGTGGGCGGGTGAGTGGCGTGAGAGGGGCCTTTCCTTCGAGTCTGGAGGAGCAAGTCCTGAGAAGCCAGGAGAGGGGAGCCAGCTCGTGCAGGACAGGGACGTCTTAGGGGCACAGGTCACGGGTCGTTCGGGATGGTGTACAGGAGGAAGAAAAGAGGAGACGTTCCGCTCACTACCTCTCAGTGGCGAGTCTTGGTCGCATCGCCACCCCACTGAGAACAGCTTCTACAGGACACGGACTCGGGTGGGGCCAGGGGTGCAGTGTGTTCTGGCAGGCCCAGCTTTGGCCCCTGTAGCGCCCGCCCAGGCCTCGCCCAGGTTGCAGAACTCGGGTTCAGTTCTTGGGCTGCTCGGGGCAGGATGGGGGAGTCTCCATGTCCCTGGAAACGTGTGGGGCTACATCAGGGCTAAGTGCCCCCAGAGCCTCACGTGGAGTTTATAACGTGGAGTTTAACGTGTGGAGGTGACCTGCGCAGCGCCACGGCCCAGCTGACGTCACGGGCAGCCCGGAGGCCAGCGCCAAGCAGGGCCCACAGCAGGCTCTCGGCCCCAGCGCCCACATACACGCCCTGCATAGCGGCAGGGTGGCTGGGAGTCCCTGGCTCCCATGTGTCTGCCCGTGGTCACAGAGGCCGGACGGACCCTGTGTTTGAGAAGCTCAGGTCTGCCTATCCATTCCCAGACAGAGCCCCCCGACCAGGCTCCCCGTGCACACGGCCAGGCCAGGCCTGGGGTGTCTGGTGCCACCCTGCACATGCGCCTGGGCCCCCAGAGGCAGCTGAGACCCAAACGCCTGTGTCTGTTCCCGCCTGGTGGTGGCTCCAGCCTTCCCTCAGGTGCTCTCGAGCATGTGGCTTCCAGGTGGGGGAGGAGGGCACCGGAAGGGCCAGGCTGGAGCAGAGACAGGCAGCAGCGGCGCTGGTGTCCCTGCTTTCACTTGACGCTCCTCCTGTCTCTGTGTGTGTGTTCATTTCCTGTCAGGGTTGTTTCCGCGCTTCTTCTATGTGTCAAAGCAGTGCTCCAAGTACTGCCCTGTGTTTGCATCGTCCTCGGCCGCAGCCGACAAGTCCTTCGTCCTGGAGAAGCCCACGCCCTTCATCTACGTGCGCTGCTGTCAGGGTCACCTGTGCAACTCCGAGTCTCTGAACGCCACGGAGTACGTGGAGTTCAGGGAGGCCGGACGGGCCTGGGAGGGGCGCAGCGGCCGTGCTGGGCTGGCCCTGTCCCTGGCGCTCAGCTCTGTGTCCCCGGGCCTCGGGCTGTCCTGAGCTGCACGTGGGCCAGGGCCTCTGGCACTGAGCACGTGAGGCCGCCTGGCCCAGGCTGGGGGAGGCTGTGCATTAAACTTGTTTTCCCTTGACTGACGTGTGGTCTCACTCCCGAGGGCCCTGGAATGGGAGGCAGGACAGACCCGGGGCTGTGGCTGCAGTTGGTGTCCAGAGCCAGTCCACCCCTCCCGACAGCAAGGCTGTGCCTCGATCAGCGTCTCTCTGAAACCCAGCCTTGTGGCTGCTTCTGGCTGGCAGCCACGCTCTCCTCTTCCCCTTCCAGGGCTGCAGTAAAGGGGATGGCAGTGGGGAGGTGGGGGGGTGGAGGAGGGTCTGGGGCTGAGCTCTGTGAACCTGCGTCCCAGGCAGCACTCAGCCCAGGGGCTGCCACCCTTGGGCTGGAGCCGGCAGCGGGTGGCTCGGCCTTTCTGCCCTTGTGAAGCTGGGAGGCCTCGTGTCCCCTGGGACTGAAGGGGCCCTGAGGAGGGGTGTCCTGTGAGGGGGTCTCCGAGGGAGAGGATGGATGTGGTGGCCACACTGAAAACCGCAGCCAGCGCAGCAGCTGGGTGAAGAAGCAGCTCCAGCTGGTTGTGGAGAACTGCTGGTGGGCAGGAATCTGAGCCTGGTGAACTGGGAGCGCACCGGAAATAGCTCGTGGCCACTCCTGTGCTTTCTGGCGCCCCTAGCGGCGGGACCGGGCGTGGCGCGCGGGGCTGGGCCACTCGGGTGTGGAGTGCCGCTGAGGTCCGCGGCTGAGGTCCGAGGCCGAGGTCGGAGGCCGGCGGGCGTGGCGGCGCGGCCTGCCACACTAGACGCAGGGTGGAGGAGCTTCCAGAACAGGCATGGAAGTGGCGGTGCTTCCAGAGCCCAAATGGGCCGTCCGCTCCTGGGAACGCCCTTGCAGCTTCAGACTCCGACTCGGCAGGGCGGTGCCGGCCAGTGTGAAACCCCCTGCTGGAGACTGTTGCTCAGAGGTCTCCGTGTGTCCCCCGTTGTCCCTGTGAAGTTCCCCCAGTTTGCAGCAAGTTTGTCCCGGCCTATGATTCTCTGTTGTTCCCAAAGAAACCCATTTTGCTGGTGAAATGGCTGTTTACTTTGTTTTGTTAGGACAGCACAGGAAAATGCTGGCACACATGACCGAGACCTTTTCAGAGGGCGAAGCGAAACCCTGACGAGCTGGCTGCTTCCGGGCACGCCTGCATCTGGGAACGTAGACGCCCAGGGGGGCAGTTTGTGTGCCGTTCCCGAAACGAGGCAGACTTCCTCCGACCACCCACAGGGCCGCAGCCACAGGGCCGCAGGGCAGGTGTGTGCGGGGCCGCAGTGGCCTGACAGAGGGTGAACACGCACAGCGTGCTGAGCTCTGCTGCTCCGCCCCGCGCCGGTCAGACCTGCCCCGCCTCCGCCTTGCAGGTGGGGGAACCAGAGCTCCACTGGGCGCAGACGTCCAACTTGCCACAAGGGTAGTTGTCCCCCTGTTCTGTGGGACACTTTGTAGACAAGAAATGGAAGACACCGCCCCATAGGGTCAGGGGCCTTCCCGTACTGGGAGGGTTCTGGCAGGTTCTGTGGGAAGCGTGTGCAGTGTCCGGCCAGACAGAGTGGCACACAGCAACCGGGACTGGAATGAAAAGTCCTGGGCAGGTCATTGCGGGCCGGCCCTGCCCCCACCCAGTTCTGGTCCTCTGGTCACCCCGTCAGGGCCACGTGCACACGTGGAGCTTAAGAGACATGTTTCTTTTTTTAAGCAAAAGGACCAGTTCCTGTGGAATATTCAGATAACCCCAGTAATGGCACGGGCCTGTGTGGACCTGCGCGGTGGGAAGCAGCCGATGTGTCCACGATCCATGCCCTGCTTTGCAGACTTTGCTCAGGATCACGGGTCACCGGGGTGGGGAAGCAGCCACTCGTCACACATCCCACATGGCTGTTGAGGGCTGGAAAGGTGGCTAGTGCACCAGAGGAACTGCATTTTAGATGTTATTTAATTTCACTGTACTTTAAATGGTGACCCTGGGCTCCAGCTGATGTTGGAACACAACTCTAAGGGACCCAAAATGCCCGCGTCTTGCCGTTCCTTGCATTTTTAACATTTAACCAGGAAAAGAGTACACCCTTGACCTCCTGCTAGTCCGAACCAGCTGTTGCCTGGCCAGCGTTCCCTGTTGTCTGTGCTCAGGGCCTGGGCGGCCTCAGTGTGCCTGCTCTTCTCAGCTCACGGGCGCCACCTGTGGGTGGAAGGGTTCCGGTCCGCGCCCCAGTCTCCTTGCAGGGGTGACTGAGCTGCTGGGGCCCCAAGGACGCCCTCCCGGAGGATCCGCCTGCCCGACGGGCAGCCGCAGGGCGGCCCCCAGCCCTCCCTCGCCTCCTGCCTCGCTTTCCCACCTGCCTCTCTCTCTGTCACCTCTTTTCCTCCCTTGGCCCACCTCGCCTCTCACTCTCTGCTCCTCCTCCTGCTCTGCCCACTGTGGGGGGGAGGGGGTGACCGTAGGATCGTGCTTGCAGAAGCCAGTTCAGTTTTTAGGAAGTTGGGGGAGCTTTTGTTAAGGGCACTCAGGAAAGTTCAGTTACATCAACTTACACGTAAATTTACATGAAAAGAATGGTCGCATTCAACAACAACACCTTGGTGGTTTCACCGTAGTTTGCTGTTCTCCTGAAGTCCTCTGCGTCCTGTCTGCACGGCGAGCACGCTGCCAAGTGGCGGCTGGCTGCCTCTTCCCCGCACTGTGCGCCTCGTCACCGTGGTCGCATGGGGGGCGGTTCACACCACAGGAGCAGGGGCGACCCCGACAAACGCCCAGTGTCAGGGTTTGACTCCCTGCCTTGCGGGTTGTTTGGGCCTGGGGAGGTGGTGCAGGAGCAACTAACCCCACAGCGCAGCGTGTTCCTGCCACGCACCGCACTCTGAGGGGTGGTTCTCCAGAATCTGAAAACATCCCCAAACTGCACAAAGAATTCACACGCGTCACTGATGGAGGAGTCCCCACACTCATCACCTCCGCTGCCCCCTCTCCACGGAATCATGAACACAAACAGAAACCTCAGGTAGTTCATGTCAGAATGAGCGCCTTGCCGGGGACACAGGGCGGGTGGTGCTGGCAGCGGAGAGGGCCACGGCAAACAGCATCGCGCGATCTCTTATTGTGGGCAACTGTGTGCTGCGCCCCCTTCACCTGGGCAGCGTCTGCGGCGAGCTCACGCACCTGTGCAGATGTGTGGTTTCTCCAGTGAGCTGCCCCTCAGTCAGCTGCCAGCACCCCTCTGAGTGGCGGGGGCCCCTCCCAGCCCCCTGCGTCTAACCGATGTCCCTCTCCTCCTCCTCCCTCTCACCCCCCCTCCATAGTACTCCTTTGTGCTTCCACTGGCTGGTCCCTCCTGACCCTCCAGTCTACAGTCCTTCAGCTAAGGGCACAGCAGGTGGCCGTCTCCACGACAGACGGTGCACCCTCCTCAGTGGGCACTGTGCCTGTGGAGACACACCAACCCCCAGAACCTTCTGGGCTCCTGAGGTCTGGGCTGCTGCCACCCAGACTTTGCACCTAAGAGACTAGGATGCTGTTTGACTGTCAGGGCCAGCCTGGAGGAACCGTCCCCCCCCCATGCTGTGGACCCGGGCCCTGCGGCGCCCAGTCCAGGCTCCCCTCCCACCGCAGCTTCCAGAGACAGCGTGCCCTTGGTGGGAACCTGTCGGGTTCAGCTTCCACTCCCATCAGCCGGGGGTGGGCCACATGCAGACAGACGTCTCGGCGTCTGCAGCTGCCCCGAGGCGCGCGTCACTCCCGGGATCCAGGGTGCTCCCACTGCTGTGTGCCGGGCATCGGGGAGGCAGACTTTGAGTCCCCAGAAGCAGACCTGAGATGAGGTTGGAGAGCAAACACAGGTGGGGCAGGGGGGTCTCGGGGGGGGCAGGAAGGCGAGGCATCGTCTGGCCGCCAGCTGCAGGCACGGGCTCCACGCTGCGGGCACCCGGAGGCCGTGGGGGACCCTCACCACAGACCCGCCCCTCCCCAGGCAAGCTGCTACTGCTGGGGTCCCGGGGCCGAGGGGCACTCATACCTGGGCTCTGGGTCTGCCCCGCGGGGGTGGGGGAGGGGGCCAACTAGTGCGGTGCTGCCCTGGGTGCCCGGCACAAGCATGGGGGGCGGGGTCAAGGCATAAGTGAGCCCCAACAGCATCCGCTGGCATCATCACACTGCATCCGCAGAAGAGCCTTCCCAGGTCGGCCGCCAGGGGCTCCCAGGTAGAGAGGAACAGAGTGAAGAGGGAAGGAAGCTGGCCCAAGGCCTTCCTGGTGGAGGCGGTGGGGGGGGGCTGCTGCAGCCGGTATGGGAGCCAAGTGCTCCTGTCCCTGAGCCCAGAGGGTTTCCTAAACAGGCCTCACTGTGGGAGGGGCTTGCAGATTCCCCCTGGCACAGGCCTTTGCGCCTGTCCCCCCAGGGCCCCTTCCTGTGACAGCAGCCATGGGCCTTCCCCACCCCAGCCAAGGCTGGCCAGTGTGGGTGAGCTGTGCCCAGCGTGTGGGAGGTTCAATAAACGCTGCGCAATGAACGGATGAGCGACTTCAGTGAGTGGGGACCTCCCTGCAACCAGTGAGACCGTCCCTCCCTTACCTGTCTCCCGCTCGCAGGGTCCAGGTGGCAGAGGCGCCAGCCCCAGCACGCCCACTGGCCAGCGGTCAGTGTGGGGAGAAACGACTCAGGGGAGAGGCAGGAGACAGTGGTCCTGCCTAGCGACCCCACGACAGAGGCCTAGAGGTGGGACTGAGCCTGCTGCATTCAGGAGTGTGCACCATGTGTGTAAACACGTGTGTGAGTGTTTACACAGACGGGCTGGAACTGCGGGAGCATGTGGGTGGGGCAGGAGAAGCGTCCCGGGCAGAGGGGTGGGGCCTGAAGAGGGGAGGGCGGCTCCCCAGCGCCAGGGGCTCTGGGCGCACTCGCTGTGGGCGCACTCGCTGGGCGCCAGGCAGGCTCCCGGTGCACAGGGTGGGAGCCAGAGCCCTCAGCCTCTGCCCTGGGCAGGGAGGAGAAGGAGACAGACTCGCTCTGGGGTCACGGGGCCA